CATTTTTCTAGTATCATGGGCCTCTGAGAGTTCCTTACTTTCATAAACATCAGATTCATTTATTCAATTTTATAAAATAAGAGCATATTTTAAGAGGGTGGTTTCATTTCTCTTTATATCTTATTTATATACGTATACTATAGTTTTTCACTTGTTTTTTCAAATAACACTAAAAAAAAGCAATCGCTTGTGTTTTCCCATTTTTTAAGCAATAAATATCAGTCGTGTCCCGTGTATCAGGAACTAATTGTGTGAAAGAAACTGGGTATTCAAAGATGAAAAACACAATGTCCATGGCTTAAAGAAGGCACGTGGGGAGGGAGGAATAGCATAATGTGTCCTAAAAGAGTGAGCGCCCCCGGACGGCTGGGACACAGGAAACACGGAGAGAGTTAAGAAGACATGGAGGGTGTGCTGAGGTAGGGGTTGATGCTGGAAAACATGAATGACCCTGCAGCTTTGTGTGCCATTCAGAGCAATGTGGACCTTATCCAGCGAGCCACTGAAAGGCTGTAGCAAGGCAGTGTCTTGGATAACACTGGCTTTATGGTGAAGCATAGTTTAGACACTAGATGCACTTGTACCTCTCATCAACAGGAGCTGACAAAAAGAGGAAGGAGGGTGTCCATCAACCTTTTGAGGAAGACAAGGACCTAAAAAAAATTTACTGAAAGGCCTGGAAGTTCCCAATCTCTCAGTGGGAAGAATCTCCTGAAGACTTCTTTAGAGGAGACAACTGCTAATACCTGAGCTTTAACTTAATGAAGAGACTAACCTTTGAGGGAACTATTCACAACTGGGAAATTTCTCATGATGTGAGTTCCCTCACTCCCACCCTATCTGGCTTCATACTGTATTAAATATTTACAGGCAGCAAAACAAAGACTGAATAATACATACAATTTAATGAAAACTATAAATTAAGTGTACCTAACATGAGGATGAAAATAAGATTTCAATAAGAATAAAATAAGTAAAACATGCAAAATGATAAACACACGCAACACAAAGACAGCATTTTACTAATAGGAAATACTACTAAGAAGAATTATTTGGTACCATTTCAAAAACGTTTTTAATGAAGAGCATCCTAATGTTTTGATCAACAATTGCTATGTTCTTTTAGCATTTTGACCTAACTTGGTGTTTATCTTGTATCTCGTTGTTCCTATATAAAGTTAACTTTATTGTTGCCCCTAGACACTTTTGTAAATAGGATGAAAGTCTCTAAGGTTTTAATTATCTCAGTTAAATAGGAGTTACTAGTATTTCTAACAATAGTACCTAAATTCAAATTATCTTCCCAAATTGGACTTTGGATTTTTTCATTTGAATCTCAAATTCACTGTTTTAGGTGATGCTCTGAAAATTGTACCTTTATGAGGCTATGTGCTAGGATTTAGTGTCTATCCGAAAAAGATGAAATGATTTAGGAAGCAATTTAGATAATTAAGCTAGTTTAGGTAAAGTATTCTAAAACCTAACGAACATCACTAAAAATAAACTAAGAAACTCAAATTTCTCATTATCATTTCTTTTCTCAAATTCACAGAATGGTCATTTTGCTATATACCCAACAGCTTTTAAATGATAATATAAAGTCTCTTCTTGCAAATTGTAAGATTACTGAAAAATAAAACCCACAGAGTTCTCATTTCTCAAGTTCACATAATGTTCATGTTATTATATGCCCAATAGCTTTTAAATGATTACAGGAAGTATCTCATTACTAATTTTTAGGATTACTTAAATCACATCTGCCATTAAAATATACAGGAAAACTCCAGATAGCTCTTACAATATACCATTTCAGCTAAGTAGGTAGGATACTGAAAAAATTGAAATCTGCTGGTATATGTTCTTACAAATACACAATAACCATGGTTGATAAAAACTACAATTATGTTGTTCAGTGAATAGAGATGTTCAGTGGATTATTTGTGAAATATCCAAATTCCCAAATAAGAGATAGAGTAGCAAGCACATGAAAGAAACAATTACTTTAACGTTCCGTACTGGAAAAGAAAAGCAAAGCTTTTTACACAATTTTTTAAACATGATCTATGTGGGAGCAAAACCAAATGTCAAAAGGAAAACCCAAATGCCCACAAGGAGCAGCACAGTATGGGCTGGGACACCTCCTGTGAAGCCAAGCAACCCTAAAACACACCAAGGAAATGCCCCTACACTTCCATGTTTTTCATCAAGGGCAGAGTCTGCCTTTCACCATCTCAGTGAATTCAAAGTGGGATAACTCGTGAGGTCCAGAAGCCAGTGGAGTAGATGGAGTCCATGTCACATCTACTCTAAGCTTTGATGGAAACTGACTAAATTGCAGCCTTTTCCTTCCTTCAGGCCTGTGATGGTACAGCTCAGTCTGGTTTGCGATCTCAGTCTCAGAATTTGTTTGATCCTATCCCACCACATGTCTAGGTCCCCTGATGACAGAGGCAAAACCTCTAAACCTATCTTAAGTTGTATGTATTAAACCCAATCTCTTAAAGTCTCTTCTTACCACACTATGGTCTGCTGTCACCAAGTTAGAACAGTTCTACCTGTCAGTACCCACTCCTCAGGTGCGACGTGGCTCTTCCCTGACAGCAGCAGCCTGCATCCAGCTGTGACTGGCCACCGTTCTTCCTCTCCCTGGGCCACCAGGGCTTGGTGGAAGAGAAATCCTAAAATGCAATCACAGCCCTTTCTCACCTCTCCTTTCTGACACTGGGGGTGAAAGTGAAACAGAGCATTTTCTAGTTATCTAAAAACTATGCAAAAAAAGTTTTTATTCACTCAAAGCTGTAGAAGACATGAGGACTTGCACACTACAGCATTCTGAAAAACTGTCCAAAAGTCATAAATTGCATTTACTTTTCACTATATACAAAGGTTTCTTTCCTCCCTAAAGGCAAAACCAACACAAATTTACATTTAGGGGACAACTTTACTTCTATGATCACTGGAAACTGATAATGCAATATATTGCTTTTATTAATCATCTTGAAATGAAGAGAATTTTTTAAGTAAAAGATAAGGTAAACTTGTCACAAGAAAATGAAACAATCTATATTTCAGGCTATTAATTTATTACTTTTGTTCTTGCTTTGCAGTTATAATATAGACATTTTGTCAAATGTCCTCAGACTCCCCAGCTTGACAAATGGTGTTTTACACCCTGTCCTGCTCTAAGACATTCTTACCTTTTCCATTGTTCTAAAATATGTCGTTCGTAAAGAAGAACTCTAATAGAAAAATGTGTCACACAAAATAAATTACAAAGCCTCCCGTTCCGAACTAGTTTAAACATAGAAGCCTTCATGATAACCTGTCAACTTCATTATCATTGATGGTTTAGTAACGACGGGCCCATTTAGGGCCAGTTCGAACAGACCCCATCTCTTATCAACAAAATGATTAAGGATTGTCTTTCAGAAAAACTGCAAAGTCACGCAGCCAGGGCATGCACAAAAGAAGAAATTGTGACCTGAAACAACCTCAGAACCAAAGGTCCTCGGAACCCCGGGACCAGGACTCGAGCGGAACTTGAAAGCTGGACTCTTATCAGAAGCAAGGGGTCCCTCATTCAGGAAGGTCCGGTGTTAAAATTCCTTCCCCACCTCATGCAAAATATTGAGAACCTCATCATAAATGTTTAGAACCTCATCATAAATGTTTAAAAGCTTACCTTAAATACCTGAAGCCCTCCAATCAAAACATGTCCCACCAGCATTTCCACGTGCCAACCTCTTCTCCCTAACCTCTTAAACTGTGTCCCAAATCCTGATTCAGGGAGACAGATCTGAGGGCACATGCCCCCCGTCTCCCTGGAGATCGATCTTGCAGAATAAAAGCTGATTTCTCCCCTCAAAGGCTGGTGCCATAATTAATTGGCTTCTTTATGCACGTAGGGCAGAGAACCCCAATTTTGTGCCGTAACACTTTTGTTACCAGTTTTTATGGAGTATTTTGTGGTAAATGTGAAGATCACGTTGTTCATTCAACTACCTTTTTCTTCATCTCTATTCCCTTCCCCACAAAAACCCAAGACAATTATGCAAAGTTATAATTCTAATTATCAAGTAGCTATAAAAAGAAATTACATTTATTTCACCCTGAAAATTTGAAGGAATAAGCACATAAAGGATAAAAGTTCCACATTAAACAGGCTTTCTCTTTATTGAAAGTGGGTCAGGTAACAAAAAATTAAAATAAAACACAGAAATTAAACTAATGGCTTAAGATTAATCGAAATGTAATTGTTACATTCTAAACCCATGAAGACAGGGCATTCTCAGCATCTACATTCACTGGAAAATGTCCCAAACAAGGGCCCTTCGAGAAAACTAGAAACTCCTTACCAAGCCATCATTGCTGAGTAATACTTTGTTACACTAGAGAAATAACCCCGGGGCTTGAAAATGCCTCTTTGCATACTTCCCAGAAAATTCTAGCCTTTCTGGATTTCCTAATAAATATTGTTAATTTAGAGCAATAATTTTCACTATCATGATAAATGAAACTAAGAAAAGCATACACTGAGCTTGGAAATTTCAACATGAAAATGACAATTTCTAGATTAACACCACATGCTCCTTTTTTGGTGGTATTCTTGGTTTGTCTGACTGCTTAACCTCAAAGCATCAGATGACCTGACTTTTATTTTATTTTGTATTGTCCAGATCCAGATAAAGAGGAAATTCATTTCTTAAGAGTTCTCTTTAATCCTGTCTTTCTTTATCTGCTCTGTAACAGCTTTAAAATGAGCCTACCACCTAGCTGTTTTGTAATGGATAACCTGTCTCCCAGCGACATTATCTGGAGTGCTTGACTTAAGCAAACATTCATTTGCATCACTGCACCACAGAGGTCAGTTTCTTGCTTTCCTATTGATCAGTAATTCATTCTTATTCAACCAACATACAGACTTTATACCAAAGCATGCATTCTTTTATCCCACATTAGCTCTTTAGCTCATTATCAACTTCATGGAAAGATCAACTCACCCAGCACACACCATCTCCTGGACCTGCCACTCCCAATAGGCATTCCTTAGCCTTTGCTGCTGTGTAGTACTTAATCTCTGTTGTGGCCTTAAGGATTCCATCACAGTAGACATCGACATTGACAGAGCCAGCAGGAAAATCTTATAAAACACAAACGAGAGTTAGGAGCTGCGTATATAATGTATGCATCACACTATTATATCTCTTAGAGAATAGGAAGGAAGGCTTTAAGAATTCATAACAATTTCACCAACTTCTAGCACTTAAATGTTTTCCTTTTTATCTGCAGTAGTTAGAAACCACAAAATAGAATGTACAATTTTAGACTTAATTGTTCAAAAAAAACCTTAGAAGATAAAAACACATGTTAAAATTATAATAAAAGCAAAGCACTAAATCCTTTCTCCCTACCTATAACCTCCTTCTTTCAAAATAATCTATAATCATCTTTACATAATACTTTAGAATTTAGAACAGTAAAGTTACTCATTAAAAGTTAGGTATTTGCTATTAATCTTATGCAGAATATTCCCATTAATTATAGGCAAAGTTTCTCAAAATTGTGTTTGGAAAAATAGTAGCATCGAAAAAAACAGAACTTTTATTCAATTGATTACAAAGAAAACTCTTGAGAAGGTCAGGTTTAATGCCTGCTGTGTAAGTACTATTGACACCCTACATTCATGCAAAGCTTTTTTGTGAATAACATAATATAAAATGACTGATACACTGCATTGTGAACTCTGCTGTAACGCACCAACGGAGCTAAAGTTACCTGAGAACGCTGGGCTCTCCATGAAAGAACAATAAACAATAGTTTCAATAGAAAAGTTATTGTGTTTTATTATAGCAAAAGTAAACAAAATTTACCTCTTTAAATTCATTTTGAGAACACACTTTAAAAACTTTCACTCTTTGTCCAGGAGATATTTCCCAAATTCTCCTGGAAAACTGGCACCCAAACATCTGGGGTTTAGAATAAGTCAATAAGTATAAGACCCAAAGCTAGTCCTAACCTTAACCACCTCAGGAAGCTTTGAATACCTAAAAGTTCTTAAGGATTAGGCATTAATTTTACTTTATCTCCTGAAGAGGTTAAAGGACCTCTTAGAATATTGCTCAGGGAAATTTAAAGCCAACAAGCAACCTTAAGCTTAACTAGATCAAGAAGCTGCAATTTCCTCTTCCCACATTGCCTGACTAGACACTTAACCTGTATTATAAAGAAAAGATATGTAGAAAAGTTCTCTCTTCCCAAAGTAAGTATCTACCTAATAGAGAGTCAAAGAAAAATCACAGCAAAAACCTGAAAGTTGTTAAGAACATCTCATCAGCTACGGCGTGCACATGTGCTGGAGTTGCTGGAGTCAAATAAACCAATCTCAGTAGATTTCATAAAAATGATTTTGAAAGAAGATATTGATTTTGTTTATCAGAAAAGAGATGAGGAGTTTTACAATGAGGTGTTAACCTTCTGAAAGAAAGTCAGGTGAGGAATCATGAGAGATATATAGTGAGAGGATTTGCTTAGTAGTTCTTTGATAAAGAATACTTAAAATACTCTAATTTCTTTAGAATCTAACATGAAAATGAACTGATTTATTTCTGATATCTGGAGTCATTAGTTGACTCAAAACTTTGCCATTAGATCCACTGATAATGGTGCTGATTTTAGAGTAACCCTCCAAAGAGATGTCCTTTGAAGTACTGTCTTTGCTATATACATTTTCATATCTATTGAATGTCAGTTATTAAATCAAGACCTAATTACTGTTTGCACCTGTATATCAAGGTGGACTCCTTATGGATTCATCTGGTTGGGAGGCCCTTCTTAATAGCATATTAGTGAATTGGGCTTTTCATGAACAGTACCTAGTACGGCTTGAGCATTATTTTACTTGAATTGTGGTCACTATGATGTCTACCCTTCAATAAAAATAAAAACCAATTTTAATTTAAGGATTCAAACAGAAAAGCGGAAAGTGAATTCTGCTATTTACCATCTAGACTAAAGTAGGCAAGTAACTGGAAGGACACACAAATATAGGTCAAGGTCACCAAATCAAGCAAGGGTATGAGAGTCAGCTCTGAAAAACAAAAAGGCTTATCAAGGAAGAAAAAGATGGAACTCTTTGCCCCCATCAGGCATGGATACACAGCAAAGTACACTTACAGAGGAACAAAGGTAAAAAGGGATTCTATTTAAATTTCACATCTCAAGCTCCAAACCATTGAAGAGTCTTTGTCAACTCTCCCTGTCTCCATGATTGAAGTGGTCTGTCCCTCCAGATGAGGGGCAAACGAAAATAATTTATGGAAAATATAATCCAAAGGTACTTCTGATTAGTCAGAACTATCTTCACTATATCCATAAAAATAGATATTTCACAAATCCCTTAATTTAAGAGCTTTATTGCTTCTATCTTTCCATTGTCTGAGAAGCTGTGCTCCTTTATGAACCAATTTTAGTCCTTTACCACATGGTAAACTTTAAATGAACCCATCTGGC